AAAGATCTTCATAGTTCTAAAATTCTGATTCTATTGCATGAATAATATACATATGCTTTTACTTCTTGACTTCAAAAAAGGTATTGGTATATTTTGAAATTTAGCTATATTATTGTTCCTTCCAAATGACAACTCCCATTCCTAAATGCGCACACTATCGAGTGTCTAGAATAACACAGCTTAGCTTAAGCTACAAAATTAAAGTATAAACAGTGATACATTTGGTATGAACTAACTCCTGGCACTTTTTTGAAAAGTCAAATATCCTACATACATATTTTTTGCTTGTTCGATTTTTCAATGAGCTCTGCCACAGCAGCTCAAGGGAGATTAGGGGGAAAAAAAAAACCCTATATAAACACAAAGCAAAAACCTGAGCTTGTGTGTAAAGCTACTGCACTGGAGCGAATGTGGTTTAATTCTTGGCACTGGCAGCTTGTTGGAGAATTACAATATGTTGGCATGAGTCTCTAGGTCTCATTGTTCCAGATGAGGGAGTCAGTCTTAAGAGTGTTTGGCACTGAAGGGAAAACAGAGTGAGAGTTATAGGGAATGAACAGGCCCTAAAGAGGCAGGATGCTGTTGTAACAATGGCTGGCACAGTTGGGGGGCCAGTTCACTGGTGGGGATTGCCATAGGCATTGATGTGGAGAAGCATATGTGAGCAAAAGAATCAAGAGCAAGAAAGGAAAAGCAAGCAAATATATCAAAAGGGTCCTGGTGGCAGAAACAAAGTAATCTGATTTGACTCATCTTAATATTAATATGTTGGCTGATGAAGGATACCATTCATTTATCCTCAATTTAGACTATTTTTTAAAAAAACATTTATTTTCTCCTTTTAAGTATACACATTTAACTTTTCCCTAAGACATCTTTGAATTAACAGGAGCTGGTTGTGCATTCCATCTGTTCTACTTTCCAACTAGATGATGTGGAGCAGAGCACATTTCCCAGGCTTAGTTTCCTCATCGACAAAATGGATATGACTAGACATGCTACTGACAAGGGTATTGTACTGGGCAGCACTCTGCAAACTGAACCCTATGCAAAAAGGCAGTGATAATTGACTCTTACACTTGTTTTAATATAGGGAGCCCTTGCTCCTATTTTGGAGATAATCATAATACTCCAATGTTTGGAATAATGAACTCTCAATAGAAAGGAATATTAGGAAAATTTTTAAAAGTTTAAAAACACTACATATTTTATTTGATATAAAAATAAAAGATCCATGGGGCTGGGACTCAGTGGTAGTGCACTTGCCTCACATGTGTGGGGCACTGGGTTCGATCCTCAGCACCACATAAAAATAAATTAATATTGTGTCCACCTACAAGTAAAAAAAAAAAAAAAATAGAAGAAACAAAAAGATTCAGAGTTTGAACACTTGCAAATACCTGTTCTTGAGACTTATCAAATTCATAGTATAAAACACAATATCTCTTTTTTTAAAACCTCATTTTAGAAAATTAAATATTAATTAATAGATGACTATTATCCCTTTTTACTCCATATATAATGAAGTGGCACTAGCACTTTACAAAATTGTGATAAATTTCACTTTATTTGATTCACACATTAACAAACAGGTGTATTGTAAATATTGGGATTTTGCCATTTGGTCTTTTACATTTCCAATTGTGAATTTCCTATGAGATATTTACTGTTTTTTCAGAAGTTTGGCCATTGCTACATAGCCATTCATTGTGCTCATTATTGTGAGATAAATTTATAGCATTTCTTTGGGAACCACCAATGGAAAAAAAAACTGACACTGTAGCCTTGATAGGACACTGGATGTGTATTCGCTGAAGGTCTTTATTTTACAGAAATACAGACAGAAAGATAAAGTCATGTGCATAGAATCTCCCCACCCCCTAGGGCTAATTCCTCAGCTGGCCAGTGTCAAAGTCTTGGGGAGAGCCCAAGGTGTCTAACGTGGAGGCCGATATTCCTTCCACTATATAAAGAAAGCTGCTATTTCATTGTATATCTCTGTTATATGGTCATAGGTTTTCATTAAGTTGTCGAGAATTCTAAAGTGCAAAGTCCTATAGTTGAACTATATTCTGAGGATAATGAAAGTGTGAAAATCCTTGCCTTTAACCATAGCTGTCATACTGTGTTTACTTCATCCATTCAGTAGAGTTAATAACAATAGTTTTTGCTACTATTCATATATATATATATATTTTTTTTTAATAGATGAAATGAGGGAATGTGCATGTGCAAAGATTTTGTGGTCCAGTCAGCTGAATTTAGCCTCTATATTGGGCAAGTCATCATATCTCCCTAAACTCTTGGTTTAAGAGGTGAAACAGAAGCATCAATATTTAATGCAGAGGATTATTGTGAGAAGTTTGAGATACCCTGTGTGAAGGATCTGGTGCACTGCTTAGCACTTAGTCTTGGAAATAGTAGGTTTCATTATCATTTCGTTGTGGATTCGAGATAGGAATTTGTAGGCTAGAATACTTAGTTCAGGACCTTAAATCTTCCCATACATTTTGTGAAAACTCAGACCAGTCATTTTTTTTTCCTGTGGGTATCCTTTTTTTAACCTATAAAAAAGATATGACAACACACTCTTAAGTCTTCAGTTGGTTGCTGTGATTAAATGAGAGAAGGACAGGTCAAAATATCTAGCATAGTTCCTGGCAGACAAGCTGTTCAATAACTGTATTTGAACCTGAATTTAATCCAAATTGCAAGTATTAGTGTCTTTATTCATCCACAGACAAGAAAACCCTGAGTCAGATATGTTTCTCATTTTATATTTTACAAATAACTTGGTCCTAAAGAAGTTATTCATTTTTCTGTAGTGTGTACTAAAAGTCAGGTACTTGAAAAAAGTGGCTCTGTACAGGAATCTCATATCTTTATGCTCGTTAATAAAGAGGCCAGGAATGTTCTGTAGGTCTCAGAAATCTAGCTGCTGTTTCTTTAACTCTGCAACTTAGAAGACTTCTGTTTCTTTATGAGCACACTACAGTGAATATTTTGTCTAGCTGCAGGGGAAAAGCTTTGTCATGGACTTTACAGACAATAGCCTTAAAAGTAAAATGGTCTGCTTTTGGTGCAGGGAGGTTCAGGGGCCTATTGTTAGTGCACAATGGATTTCTATTGCTGCATTCCTGCTTTGCAAAGGTTTGTTAGCTTTTAATGACTGACAGTACTCAATTGCAAATACCATATTGGCTGTGCCCTGTTTATATGCTACTCAAGAATTTTTGTAGAGTGCTGGAAAAAAGAAACAGTGGTGTTTGTTTGACCTGCTCTGATAAGGTTTAAGAAATGATTTTGCTTACAAAGTATATACTGGGAATGTAGAAAGGTTGAAAATCCTTGCAGAATTATTTCAAAGTTACTTCTAAAGCTTCGGTGAACAGAAATATTGATTACAGTACAATGATATTTACTTTGTTACTCAGAATTACCATTATTATTTTTGAGACAATATGATATACAAGTAGGGATATTTCAAGAAAATGTAAAAGTAAATTCCTCAGGACCTTTTTTTTTTTTTTACCTTAAACGTGAAAAATGGAAATTTTTGTTACAAAGGACAAAAAATACTTTTCTACATTCCATAGGTGAAACTGCACATAGTATTGGTGGTATGTGTGTATATATTTGACCACATGTAAGAAGTATATAAAACAGTAATCAGAGCTTTTCATCATTTCAACTTCTACCAATTATGAAATCTGGGGAAGAAGTATTCCATATTCTTTGCTCTGTGCAAACTCCACTTAGGTTTGTGATTCTTGTAGCTGGTGGTTGTAAGACGGGACCCTGAACAAAGTAGTGGCACCAGCCAAAGATGATGATGAAGATTCCTTACAATGCCTTTTACTATGGGGAGAATTAACCAGTTTCTAATAATCTTGCGGTCTCTAGGACAGAAGGTCCCTTTGATAAGTTAACATGTACTCCCTTTATGTTCCTCCTAGGGGGTAAACAAATGCCTGAGCAAACACAAATACACATAAACACCAATGTGGAGAATGGCAGTGCATGTCTTAGATCTAGATAATAAGTGTGGGTATTGTTATTTAGATGGAGCATACTGGGACACTTATCTTTTAGTACACTCCATTTTCTAACTGAAAGCAGTGCTAATGGTGGGATTGAAAGCCATTGTAATTGTGTACCCATCTAAATGCTGACAGGAATATACAATTACATTGTTTGGAACTGAGTTTAATGTCTGGGAGTTTTATCAGCATTTATATTTACTTATACATTAAAATCCAACACAAAAGGAGAAGTCAAAAACCATGTGATCTATGGAAACAAATACCAGACTGAAGCTTAACCTTGCTTTCTAAAACGTGTATCCTGTCCCAATACAGGGCATTTTAAAAGAGTGTGATACAAATCCGAAATACAAAAATAATAGGTTTCCATTATAGACATTGCTCACTTCTCTAAATTTTCCACTCTTTTTAAAGCTTCTTTTATATCAACTTTTTTTTTTAAATGTTCGTGGCACTGGCAAATCTTACCACAGTGTGCTTCCACCACGCGATGTTAAACACATATTATAAAGTGGATGTAATTGTAAACACACAGAGGGATATAATTACATGTAGCAGATTTAAGAGCTAATTCTTTGCCTTTTTTTTTTACTCTGCATTTTATCAACATAATTATTTTTTTGACTGCAGACTAACACCCTGAAATTGACAAGCATCCATTATAGCAAGAATTTGTTCACCAAATTGAAAAACAATGAACTGCAGGTTTATATGTACCCATTGTCATCAAGAATTAGTATGGCTTTGTTCCGAAAGAGGAAAAAGCTAATGATTTTGAAACAGCAGGTGACAAAACACATCCCTTTTCTTCCTCCCCTGTTATCAGTTTGTTGATGAAGTCATTATGAGCTGGGGCCAAGATAGGGATGGCCTTATTTTTAGCAGATAGCTATTTAACTGAGCCCCATTGTAAAGACAGTTATGTTGATTTGCTTACATTTTTTTTTCTTTATTTAGAAACCCCCAGTATTGAAAAGCTACTCTCAAAGGACTGGAAAGACAAGCTTCTTGCAATGGGATCAGGGAACTTTGGCGAAATAAAAGGTAATATGTGTATAATTATTTTGACCCAAACTGTACAGAAATGAAGCTGATATTAAGGAATATTAATAGTGATAAAGTATATCTTCCTCCACCCCCATCTTTGCCATGCATTTTCTGTGTTAGATCTTTCTAGCTCAAAGGGGAATGTTATCAGTGTTCTTATTTCTCTTTGTTAGTGCCTTTAGTGGTAGGTTGTTTTTAATAGAATAACCCCATTATATATTTAACATGCTTAAGTTCTCCTTATTTTTTTTTTAAACTTAAGTGATTTGTTTCATAAGCTGGACTATACCTACAGCAAGGTTAAAGGATATATCTTATAGCATGATTTTATACACTCTATATATTGAAACTATGCATGCACATGTTTTGCATTTGAAACCAGAAATGATGAATGGAATGGGGATGGCATAATACAAAGTTGTTTTGCATTACAAGGCCAATATTTTTGCTTTTGTTTTATTTGAAACAGCAATTATACACAAGGTAGAAAGAGTCTTTATGGACTATGGGAGATACCAAATATCCATATTTTAATAAATTTCCACTAACACCAATAGGAGAAGATTTAATTTCTTTATATAGAAATAAAAGGAAATGATCCTTTCAATGAATTTCAAAGCATATTTTCTCACAACCTGATAGACAAGCTATAGTTTCCTGCTCATTGCCAACAGGACACTTAACCAAATCTAATTTCTAAAGTAGGATTAATTTTGAGAAAGTCAAGATAGTTGATCATCTCTATATATATTTGGTACTGGGGATTGAGCTCAGGGGCACCTGACCACTGAGCAACATCTCCAGCCCTATTTTGTATTTTATTTAGAGACAGGGTGTCATATTGGTTTTTTTTGGTAGATGTTGAATATATACTTAGAAATTCACAAGATTTATGTTAACATGCATGACAAAATATGTGTGTAAATGACTTTTTTGCATGTGTGCATCTGTGCGTGTATTCTCCAGTTGTCTCTTTAGTGCTCTACCACATTCAAGTGTCTTGGAGAAGGACAGCTCATGCCTTCTCAAGACATTGGCCTACAAGATGTTCATATCTGGATACTTGGAAACTTTCAGAAAATATTTGACTGAATTTCTCATTTGTTCCTGTTCATCATTTGGAATCACGTATATTCAGTCAATGATTAATTGTGACCGGATGGGGAGAGAATGAGTGACAGTCACCTAGTTCAACTAAGCAAAATCTATCCTGTAATAACATTTAAATGAATAATAAAAATAATAATTGATGTGCCTGAAAGAGCTTGCAGACAAAGTTGAAGGAGAACCGAGAAGTATGATTTTGAAAGGCAGCAGGTCCTTTATCTTATTTTGATGGATTTTAACCCATTTGCACGTGAGGCATAGGATGCATTCTCCCAGGTTCTTTATTCTCCACTGACCTAGGTAATAACTGAGCGGAGAGCAGAGAGGACCGCCTGTCCCAAGCCTTGTGATCTCATTCCATCGGAGGACAAACATTTTTTTCCCTCCCTCGTTTTCCTTTACAAGTCAGACTTAAAAGCCTCAACATCAGTGATGATAAGCTTAGAGGAAAGAGGCTCAGCTGTCCTTTTAGGCTTGCCTGGGGGGTTAGTTTAGGAAGCTACAGTACAATCACAAAAGAAGTTTCTGTCTTTAATTTTGAGTTTTTTAAGCTTCACATTCAGAGCACAAGTTTGGTTATTGTCCTCTGGTTCTGTTCAAAAAGCTGTTTTCAGATGCATTTTAAAAGCAACTGTAGGTCTTTCTTCTGTTGGGGGCATGGTTATTAGGTGCTCAGCTCAGGTTTGGCAGTAAACTGGGAAAAAAAGCACCGGGTTACTTTTCCTGCTGACTGCCCGTGACAGTTGCAATTACTATCCATTGTTCATAGGTGGCTAGAAAGTGGAGAGGATACAATAGTAGGTTGCCCTCTGGGGGTAAATGAATTTGACTAAAGGTTCTTGGGGGGTCAGGCGAGAAGATTATGCAGTGCCCAGGAATGTAGTTTTCTTGCCACCTCTGAAGAAGTTAGACAAGAACAATGGCTTAGTTGTTTTGGCAGCTATTTTGGTGAGGCAAATAAAGGCATAAGTCTTACATACTCCGGTTTTGTTTAGGAGGAGGAAGGATAAGTATGTGCTGCTTTTCTCAAATATGCAAACATGAACTTATCACATTATTAGATGATTTATTAATGAAAATTTGAAGGAATGTATTCACATAGAACCTTTGCATTTGTTAGGATGTTTACAGCCTTTGCAGAATTTCCTGGGTCTTGTGAACTAAAAACTTGGCTCCTCCACTTACACTGATCATTCTTCATTTAATTTTAATTAGTTCCCAGAAATATGTGAGTGTAAAAGAGAGCAAGTGAGTAAACCAGAAAGCCTGTGCCCTTTTTTGAATATTGAAGATGGTAGCCAAAGAGAACCAAGCTGGATTCTTAGGGGCTGCTTGTAAGTTGCATTTGGATAATTACTTTCATAAGAATCACAGCTTAGAAAAGTTTAGAGCAGTATTTCTCACTAGTAGTGTTCAAAAGTGAAAAAATGATAGACGTTATAAAATAGGAGGAATAAATAGCATTTGAGTTGGATGTTTCAGCTATCAAAAAATAGCTGTCATACCCATTTAAAGTCAGTCTCATTTTCAAGAAACAATGAGGGTTAATAAAGCTCACTAACTTCTAATATCACAAAATTATTATTATTTTTTTTTCACATTAGATAATTTTGCCTTAGAACTGATGCCATTTTATGCTCTGGTACGTTGGAAATGTGCAGTTAGGTTTTAAAGTTACGTAAGAAACAATCCTCTAACGAACACATAAAAAGGACAGGAGGTCCAGTTTTGCAGAACAAAACAGTTTGACAAAACAGCTCTGCCAACAGTGAGCAGTCAATATATGCTATAAACTGATTAGCTGCCTGAAGGAATTATTTGTTTCTTCTTTTCTAATCAGCTATGTTGTATAACTGGCTGGTTTACAGAGTCTTTCTCCCTTATCTGTAGCAGAAGGACTGAGTAATGGTCGGGGGAAGGTGCAGAAATTCCTTTTATCATCTCATAGTTATTGAGAAGGGGGAAAATAGTGATTGCACTCCAGTTGGCAACCAGTGCTGCCACACACTGTTTCAGCTAGCATGAAATTCCATTACACTGAAGGTCACCGCATTGGCACTTCACCTGAGGATGGTGTCTGGGGATCCATGGCACTTAGACTAATCTAAAAAGATCATTTGTTTTTCAAAAAAAGCAATTGCAAATTTTGTATTTTGCTGACTTAATATTTATTTGTAGAATTATAACACAAGTATCTGTATGCAGACTTCTATTTCTCTCCTCATAAAGTAAAGTAGGGCATTGTTTGGAGGATCTCTGACCAGGTCATGCAGAAAAGTCTACATCCCATTCTTACCTGCCTCCTTTGGAGAATTTTTTAGAGGCTGGCTTGTTCCCCCTTAGTATCCCTGGCATACCCTTCTGATCCTGGTCACACTGCATTAATTTAGGCTCACAAAGTATTATGTCTAATGTTAAGGAAAATGCCAGCTGTATTTGAGATAATAAAATAAAATTGGCTCTTTTTGAAAGCTATAATTTTGTTCTTTCTGGAAGATGGGACATTAAGGCAAATACCAAACAGCTCTAGAACTACCAATGATGGATCAAGGAAATAATCCATTCAGCGATGCTACAGCCTTTAGAGTTCATGAATTGAAGACATATGCTTCAATATGTAAAGAGAATAATCTCTCAAATGACATGTATAATTTTGAGATAAAAGAGAGATATAGATCCCATGTTTGCCTTGAAAGAGGAAATTCCGTCTAAACAACATTAGATGATTTGAAATTAACCAGGCTTTTACTAGGAATCAGATCCCAGGTTAAAAAAAAAAAAATCTAGTAAGGGATCATTAGAGTTTTGTAGAGTTGAAACTTGCAAAGTAAAATTTCAGCATTTTGATATATACGGATTTTTATCATCTTCAAAGTTGTTTTAAACTTATTCTTTAGAAATCCAATAACTATTTAAGAATCATAAGGATTGCTAAGAGTACCTTATGACTGTTATATTTGCACAATAACCTAAAACATGTGCATCTGCAGAGTTTTACAAAGGGGTTAGAAATGTTGATGATTTTCTGAGAGTACTGTTGAATCTGGAATTTATTCAATATAAGAGTCAACCACAAGGAAGGTACATAACATGTAGTCATTTACTTCTAAATAAAGTAAATGTTTATGTTTTTAATCCACTAAGCCAGTTTTATAGCTCCTCTGTAGTTGCTTATGAGTAATGTTTTCACTTTTTGTAAAAACTTCATAAGAACTAAAGAAAGACTGCTGGCACATGAAAATATAAGTTTTTAAAACAAGTTTGGCAATGTCTATAAAAGCCAAAAGTGACTACATTCTCTATAAATCAGTGATTTGTTCTGTCTCTGGATGCCATCACCTTCACACCAGTGCATAAACACAGCTACTGATGGGAAGAGAGGACTGGCCCCTGGATCTCGATTGATCTGTATGTCTGGTCCACCAAAGAGGACATTTCACAAACTTTGTAAAATGCATGTTTTAAACATGATTTGAAATTCTCAACTCGGTATTTAATCTTGGTTTTACACATAAAAAAGTCTCTTAATTTTTTTCCCTCATTTAAAAATGCATTAATTCACTTAAAGAATATTCATTTGTTTGATGGGTACAAGATTCTTTAAATAATTATAGAAAACGTTATTTATGTTGTTGTAGATATGGATTCCAAATCTTGTTAAAACAAGATCCAGATGATTGGATAATGCAATTAACCTAAAGCCTTTTTCTATTTTATACTAACATTTACTTAAGAAGCATACAGAGCCAAAAGAATTTCTCATCCTGAGACCCTGATTTTTCTAAGTACTTGTGGAATTCAGTTTACTTCTTTTGATTTGTTTCTTCATCTGATCATTTAAGAAAAGTTGCAATTTATTGCTTATCACTTTATAAACATCTTCCTATAGG